TGTGTGTGTGTGTGTGTGTGTGTGTGTGTGTGTGTGTGTGTGTGTGTGTGTGTGTGTGTGTGTGTGTGCACTCATTAGTTAGTAACAGTGAACTTGTCTCAGGTCCTGCTGAGGTACCACGTGCAGCAGGGTGTTGCAGTCATCCCCAAGAGTGAAAAGCCTCACCACATCCTTGAAAACACAAAGGTAAGAAACCATTGTCGCTCTGGTGAGACAAAGATGCTTACCACGATTTTCTCGGTGGGGGTATTAAACCTGCACTCTTTTTAACGACCACTAGGGGGCAGGCCCTCTGGTTGACTCACTGCACCATTGTGTGGTACAAATTGTTATTACACAAAAGGCCCCAGTTCAATTTCAGTTGACAGCGCCTCAGCAATTGTATAGTTTTAGTTCAGGAGTGTAGTGTAAGTATATTTAGAGCCTCGTTGTCGGTTTCCCTGCAGATCTTTGACTTCAGTCTGACTGAAGAAGACATGAGTGCTCTGAGGGGGCTGAACCGAGGGTGGAAGGCCTGTGAAATTGAAGAGTAAGTCAACCACCTTCCTGCTGTAGCTGCATTCTCCAGCATCAAACCAATGATTGCTCTTTTGTCCCTCAGAATCAAGTCTCACCCGTACTACCCCTTCACCTGAGAGAGAAGACGCCACAACGACCAGCGCTGGAGCATCCATCAGTGACCTGTTTACTAATAACGATGAAATGTTTAGAATGATAAGAGCCAATGATAAGCTCGCTTTTCTCTTTTAATATTTTTTTTAATTAAAGAAAAAATGTACAAATGCACAGACGAATGCTTCTGAAAAATGCAGTAGTAATGAATGCAGCTTTTGCTTCAAAGGCAGAGATGACATCTTTTAAAAACATTCACGTTTAATCCTAAAAGCAAGAACAAAAAAAACCTCTTTTAAATGCAGCTTGTTCTGTTTCCTGTATTTAGAGGAATATCAAATCTGTGATTCTTCCCAAATACGCAACTTCTAGAGAAACTTAACCGTGCACAGTTTCATCAGTTTTAGTAGTCGACAGCTTAAATGTCAACAAATCAGGCTCATTAGCAGACGACTGACGTCTTGTTCCACACGCTGCACTCGCATTATTTACAGTCCACATTTCAGTGAAACTACAGAGCACCAAACAGCTATGCAGTTATGAGACAGTCAGTGGCAGCGACAGATACAACACTGATTAAGTCAGATGCAGCAAGAAAAGGAGGAGGGTTGCAAAGCGGCATCCATACTCAGAGATCTATTACATGTGAATAAAAGCGTCAGCTGCGCCATGAGGAGGTGTTGGCTGCCACTGAGAGTAGCTGATCTGCTGGGATTGTGGCTGAGCTTGACTCTGTGGCCTGCCTGCACTGTAAACAGACTGGAGAGTCGCAGATCCGCTGGTCACCGTGTCAGTCGTAGTACAGAATAATGGCTCCTCCATCTGGTTTCTGAGCTTCTGTGGCGAGGCTGACAGCGGCGGAGGCTTCACGGTGCACACGCATGCCGAAGCCCCTGCTATACATTTGGGCAGGTCGGGCCCTCTGGACCACGCCCCCTTGTCTAGGTCGTATACCTGTGTGGCTCTGGAGAACGCCATGCTCTCCCAGCTGAAGCCCCCGAGAACATAGATCCTACCTGCCCACACAGCGAGCCCCGCCTCGCTGTTGGGCAGCAGCAGCGGCGCAATCTTGGTCCACTGGTCGCCGCGTGGGTCGTAGGACTCCACCTGCAGGATGTCGAAGCGTTCCGAGGTGTCCTCGTGGTCGTCGCTGCCTCCGATGGCATAGATTAGGTTGTCGAGGGAGGCCATGCAGTGCCAGCCCCGGGCCAGAGACATGGGTTGGCGTTCCACCCACACATCGCCGTCCCGCAACGGATTGTAGCTCAGGACGTCCCGGCGGTATGGGCCGATCTGATAGTTGTGACCGCCCGAGATGTAGACGACGCCACGGTGGACTGTACCAGCGTGACCGTAAGTAAGCCTGCAAAACACAAACAGTTTTTTACATGTGTGGAGTGTAAACGCAGTCCTCACAGCTCAGCTATCAGAGATATTCCTCAATCAAAGAGGCGGAGTCAGCAGTAACCTGGGCAGTCCTGCCACGTAGGACCAGCAGTCCTCAGCAGGGCAGTAGACCTCCACTGACGACAAAGCTCCGGTATCATTCCTCCCTCCCACAGCGATCAGGTACTCTCCCACGGTCCCCAGGTAGAAGTCCACTCGCCGCTGGTTCATCGGGGCACCCTGCAAAAACACGCTGTTCGTGAGTCTGGGCTGCTAAACGACCTCAGACTATCAAAGCGGCTGGAGGGAGGGGACTTTTCTACACTCTACCCTGGTCCACTGGTTGTGGCGGGGGTCATATCTGTACAGAAGGTTACAGGCAGCGTCTCCACCGTTGTCCCTGGACGAGCTCCCGCCGGCGGTGAAGATGAAACCTCCCAGGACCGCCAGGCAGTGGTGGCTCCGCTGGGCCGGCAGCTCAGTCTCCACCTTCCAGCTCCCTGTTTCAGCGTCCAGACAGGAAACACTAGCGCTAAGCTCCTCCCCACGCTCGGAAACCTCAAAAAACAAGAGAAGTCTAGCTGTGAAACTTCCAGGTTTCACTTTTCAGACAGCAGTGGAGACACGAGCCTCAACAACAACAACAACAACCTTTATTTATAGAGCACATTAAAAGCCTTAGGCATACCAAAGTGCTTTACAAAAAAAACAATAAAATAATACAGTTAAGAGCATTAATATCAATATAATAAGAACAGCAGACAATGTTCACAGTAAAAAGCCACTGATAAAATGGACTGCAGCACATAGATTATAGCAGACCCAGTGCCGCATGATAGAGAACACCAAGAATGAAGGAATAGTAAAAAGTTAATGCAATAGGTCGCAGTTAACAAGTCAGCATTTAACGGGTAGAGAAGGCAAGTTCAAAAAGATAAGTTTTAAGGCGTGCTTTAAAAGAAAAAATAGAATCAGACTCCCGGATGCCAATCGGGAGGCTGTTCCATAACTCAGGTGCAGCAAAGGCAAACGATCGATCGCCTCTAGATTTCAACCGAGATCTGGGCTGAACTAACAATAACTGCGAGGATGACCTTAAAGCCCTGGCAGGGACATAAGGGTTTAAAAGTTCCTTAAGATAGGTTGGTGCAGTATTATTGATAATTTTAAAAGTAAACAGCAAAATTTTAAATTGAATGCGGTATTTGATAGGCAGCCAATGCAGCTCAGCAAGAACAGGAGTAATATGGTCAAACTTCTTGGTTTTAGTTAGAATACGTGCCGCAGCATTCTGAACTGTCTGTAATCTATGTAGAAGGGTAACATGGAGACCAGAATAGAGTGAGTTACAGTAGTCTAGTCTTGACGTTACAAAAGCATGAATGAGCTTTTCTAAGTCATTATACGGGATATAGTGTCTGGCCCTGGAGATAAGACGAAGCTGGTAAAAACTAGATCTGACAACAGCAGACACCTGTTTATCAAGTTTAAAGGAGCTGTCAAACAAGACACCCAGATTCCTGACAGTATCAGAGAAAGAACTAGTAAGAAAGCCAAAGGCATCTTGAAGTTTGGCGCGAAGGGCATTACTGCCAAAAATCATGATTTCAGTCTTTTTTTCATTGAGAATAAGAGTATTTGCCAACAGCCATTTCTTGACCTCACTCATGCACTCACGAAAGTTATTTAAAGATAAAGCGAGATCATCATGATTAAAATACTAACACTGAAATCATATCACAGTAAGTGTCAGGTGTGAAGACATCAGATCTAAAGCAGGTTTAACATGATGTTCACGTGAAATCATGAAATCAGCTTCTGTACCTCTCCTCCAATGAGCAGCAGTCTCTCCACTCCCCCCCTCACTGTGGTGCGTCCAGTTTGCAGGAGTGGTTGAGCGCTGGTCCTGGCGTGGTATGCCAGCGCCTCCTCCACCAGGGCCTCACAGCCGGCCTCCTCGGGCAGCAGAGCTCGCACATCTGGAAGCACCCTGCTTATGAGGTCTGCCACCGGGATCAGAGGGAACCGAATGTGGGAGAGGAGCTGCCTGGCGTGGGAGGTCCGCTCGGGCGTCTGGCTGAGCCACTGCAGCGAGGCCTGGAGAAGCGCCTGCTCGCTGTCGTGCTGAACCTGGCGATGAAGAAAGGGGCTCTCAGAATGCTAACCGTGCTTTTGATTTCAGCTCGTCTGCTGAGCCGTGGTGAGGACGTCTCACCTGGCCACTGGAGAGGTAGGAGTTGAGTTTGTGGAAAGGAATGTCGCGCAGGAAGTCCGGGGTGAAAGAGAGCATGGAGAAATGTTTGAGGATGAAGCGGTCGACGAAGGCGCTGAGTCGCTCCAGGCTGTAGAGCAGCGCCAGCTGCTGCAGGTACAGGTAGTTGTCCTCGCTCACCTCTGTCTCCAGGAACTGGCAGCAGAAATCCACCGCTCGCCATACCTGAACAATGCATGAGTTTTTATAGGTAACATTAATTATCACCACCGATTGATTTTTAACAGTTAAACAGGTGATTTTAACAGGTGATTAAACCTCTCGCACTACAAACACAGAAATTCTTAGAAATATTATTTTCCTGATAATTTAGTTTAAATGCTCCAAAAGGAGAAGTTCAGTCAAACAGGTCACCCCTCTAACTTTAAGCCTTAACAGTATCTAAACTGATGAGCTATAAAAAAAAGTATATTTTTCATGAAGAGAAAACTACTCGTGGAGATGAAAACCATTTTTGTACCAGGCTGTAAAGTATTTTTTTTAATATGGGAGTCTACTGAGATTGACTCACTTTTAGGGTCAGCCCCAAGTGGCCATCAGAGGAAGTGCAGTTTCTGGCCCTTTTCCCTCATCAGCCCCAGAAGCTGCCGCTTGGCCTGCATCGTTAAACCTAACAGCTCGCTGGTTTCTTACCTGCAGGAGGTGAGCAGCTTCCAGCACATAGTCAATGTTTCCTCCGTCCAGTGGCAGCTCGCCGCTGTACAGGAAGTCCACCACCGCCTTCAGACCCACGAAGGACATCCCGACCAGCTCCACCTGCAGATAGGAAGAACACATGCGTGTACTCTATTCCATTTACAACTTCAGTACAACTAAGATAGAAACAAAAGCGCCCACAAACGATCCACATTGATTTTAATATATTATTTTACGTACATAAATAAGCTAATTTCACAGTGTTGCCTGCATACCTCCTGCTGGTGCTCCTCCTTCATGCCCAAAGTAAACATAGCATTGAAATACGGGCTGGAGACCGCCAGCAGGGCTCGGTGAGCGGGGACGCGCTCGTCTTCAGCCACGAGGACCACATCGCAGAACTGGCCGTGCTGCCGCTGCTCGTTGAGGCCCTGCAGCAGTTCAGCAGCATGATCCACGCAGCGGAAAACCTGCAAACACAGCACAACATCACCCTGACCACAACTCCTTACTCCAAACGGCTGTGTGCCCGCTCCCAGGAGCCTCCTCAGAAACCTTGTTGATAAGAACCAGGCTGCCTTTCTTCTTCTTTTTGCCTGCTTACTTTTGCACATTCCTCCTGATTCACACCCCAGATAAAACCAACTGCTGCCAAACTTCAGTTCTTGGCACTCGCAGTGTTACTGTACAAGCAGTAGCGAGAGATCTGCAGAGATTTTCATTGTCTGATTTTGTCTCTCATGCTAGAAATGAGCTGACTTCTCAACTTACCAGAGGGATGAAAACAGTCCCCAGATCCTCTGCACTTTGGATAGACAACTGTCTACAACTATTAGTCGATTAACCTGAAGCTACTTTACAGACCATGCGATAATTTTTAACAATAATAACACTGACCTTAGACGATTCGCTAATCCGCTGGGGTCGACACACTCGGCTCGATTTGTCCATTACATCCCCCCAGGAAGGCATCATCTAAAGCACACGCACACAGGTTTTACTGTAATTCTCTCACAACTATTAACTAATTAATTAGTTACTCAAATAATGCATCACACTGTTTAACTGATTCAGTTATTTTCAAGAAAAACTGGAAGAAATGTTCTATTTGGAGTTATTGGAGTCAAACAAAACAAGAGATCTGAGGATATTCCCTTCAGCTTTGACTCTGATGTTTGATTTATTGCCCAGTAATAAAATAAAAATCGTTCATGTTGGTACAGGACCTGTAACAGTTCATGAGATCAACAAGTCTTTGGTGTTTGGTGTGAGAGTTGAACGAGCATGCTGGAGTCTGAGTCTCATCTGAAATATGAGCTCTGATGCTTTAGATCACAGATATTATGAACCACACTCAGCTGAGGGTTCACGGCCCTTCCTAAACACAGGAAGAGGAGACAAGCTAGAGCCGCGGCTCTCGGGCCTTTAGCGAGATGAGGTACATACAGCTGAAAAGCCCAGACGAGAAACCGTGTCACTGCCGCAGAGCCACTGACAGCAGCGCTTCCAGACGGACCTGAGGCGGGTCAGAAGGCGGCTCTTCTGTTATTCCGTCAGCAGCTGCATCTATGGGTCCCGCAAGACAGCCGAAGAACAAACTGTTGCATTTTGTCCAGGAAGCAATAAAAATTCTTCAAACTTCGCTCTTCGTCCACCGTCTTCTTACAGAGACTTATTACCGGTGACACACGCTGTATTGGACCACAAAAACATCTGGAGCAAGCAGCCAGGTGGAGTTAGCTTAGCCGCAGGTTAAACAACAACTGAACTTCCGGTTTGAGTTTTCAGAATAAACTCTTGCATGTTTATTTATTGGTGGTTTACGTTTACAAGCTATGAGCTTACAGATTTGCTAATTTTGGTTGGAAGGAAAATATTTGGCATATAAGGCAGCACGGTGGCACGGTGGTTAGCACTGTTGCCGCACAGCAAGAAGGTCCTGAGTTCAATTCCACCATCAGGCCGGGGTCTTTCTGTGTGGAGTTTGCATGTTCTCCCCGTGTTTGCGTGGGTTCTCTCCGGGTACTCCGGCTTCCTCCCACCGTCCAAAGACATGCAGCTTGTGGGGATAGGTTAATTGGATAATTCAAATTGCCACTAGGGGTGAATGTGAGTGTGAATGGTTGTCTGTCCCTGTGTGTTAGCCCTGCGACAGACTGGCGACCTGTCCAGGGTGTACGGAAGCGAATGGATGGATGGATGGAAAATATTAGCTTATTTTGTGTATTGAAAAATCAACGGTCTCTGAGAAGCTGAATAGATACTGAAATCTTTGGAAACTAATACTAATAATAATAATAATACAACAACAACAATAATAGTAATAATAATAATAATTATTATTATTGTAGTAGTAGTAGTAGTAGTAGTAAGTTCGATTTACCAGACAAGACTAAAAACTAAACGCAGTGCTCAAAAAGAACTTCGTTTTATTTTGAAGTCAACGACTTTAGGCCGGATGTTGTTATTTACATCAATACATTATGAAGGCCATTGAGTGACCAATAACAACGCCAAACGGTACTGTGCACAAGTCTTGCGCCACCCGTCTTTTCTCTACGTTATACGAGCATATCGAGAAATAGAAAGAAAGGAAACAACGTTGCTAAAGATCACCTTCAAAAACATTACAAGTCTGACTCCTTTGAAACAAAAGGAGGTGGTTCGAGACTTTTGCACGGTACTGTAGATAAACAGCTGCTAAATGAATGAATGAATATATTAAAGAGATAAACGGAGGCCTATCGGGTGGCAGGACTGTCACAATGTCACCGTTTTATGATACAGTTAACCTCGATTAATAATCTGAAAGAAAACAATATTAGTTAAACAATGTGGGCCTGGACAGGTCACCAGTGCAGCACACTGGTGACCTGTCCAGGGTTTACCTTGCCTCCTAAATTTGTCAAATAAAGTTTGTCCCGTTCAGGGAAAATGAGTTACACAGAGAAAGGAAGTGGACTTCTATGAAAAGCCCCAAAAGCTATTGATAAAAGACATGATAAGATCATTTATTTTTATTAATTTATTTTTATGAGTAATATATTTATTTTGAATATGTTTGGTACACAGTTAAAACATGGAGCAAGTTTGCCTCTTTTACGTCATAGAGTTGACTGCACATGAGCTAACTGGAGACCAGGTAGGAGCAGGGTGGCCTATGGGAGGAACACGAACAGGTGGATGAAGTGTGATGCTGTGGGGAATGCTTGGCTCAGAAACTTGGCTCCTGGCTTCGGTGTGGCGATTACTGTGATGGAGTAACTCCCATCACGGCAGCAGTGTTCCTTGTGCAATAATGTTTAGAGATGCTAACTCTAGCTTCCTAGTCCACAGCAGCCACTTCTTTTTTTTTTTTTTTTTAACTCAGTGTTTCTGGTGCAAAAAGTAGCTTCTGTAGTGAAATGCGAATCTAAGAAAACTCTCCGAACTGTGATGTTTTGAAGTTAAGGCTAAAAAAAGATGAAAGTTATGAACAAAGCACCATTGCTGTTTGGACAGCTCCTTAGTCGAAAAGCTGCTCTGAGAACAGAGGACTTTAAATACAGTTTCTTTTGCAGTGGAAAAAATGGAAGGAAGCAGTTCTGTCAGAAGGCCCCACAAGCACGGCCTTTCTGTGATTAAATGGTAAATGGTAAATGGCCTGTATTTATATAGCGCCTTACTAGTCCCTAAGGACCCCAAAGCGCTTTACATATCCAGTCATCCACCCATTCACACACACATTCACACACTGGTGATGGCAGCTACATTAAAGTTGTGTCCTATTAAAGTAAGGACACAACATTTATCAAGCTGTCATATTCATATTTAGGATGTTCAATAAGGAGAGAACATCTTCTCTCTCTCTCTCTCTCTGCAGCCTGCATGTAACAGCAGGTGCAGACTGTGAGGCAGACAGATGGAGATGAGGATGGAGAGACAGAAGACATAACCAGCCCCCCTCCTGCAGTCTAACATAGTTATTTGTGTGCTTATTGCGGACCACTGAGTCTAAGTTTGCAGGAAAGATTGATGAAAGCTTGTGACCGACAGCAGGTCGACCAGCAGGTGGCAGGATGATGCAGGCACAAACAAACCAGGAGGTACAGCTCAGTTGGGCTTATGCCAGTGTCAAAGAGGAGGGAGATGACCTTTGACCTCTAGCTAGCCTATTTGATCAGTGGATGTTTTAAGCCCACCTCGTGGGTTTACGGTGTAGTTTATGTGAGTGTAATGACCAATGGCTTTGTGTCAGACTAGTACCTGTTCCTCAAATTAATTCATCTGCACTCTGCTGTGTAAAGTTGCGCTAGTAGGTAAAAGAAAGACCGGAAGTTGATCGTTTTAACTTAAGAATAAAAGTATCTAATTAAAATAAAAATGAGCAAATGCCAAAAAAAAAGCAAAACAATTGCGCTCATTCTCATGTTATTGTATAACATATGGCATATGTATTGCTTCCATTTTTACACCTTTTCCTTTGTGAAAGTTATTTTTATTCTGCTGAATCATTTTTGATACACTTTTACTTTTTTCATGTTTCTGTCAGTATTGATAAACAGAGCCAATAAAAATAATCATTCACTGTAAGAGCAATTAAATAAGAAATGTCAATCTGGAATCAAATCGCTAAAAGATATATAATGTGTAATATTAGAATGAGAGAAAGAGAATTCACATTTATTTATTCCCTTACTAACAGGAAGAAATCTTCAGCACAACAAGGCTCAGAACCAGGATTACTGCCCACGTGATCCTGAAATATACAGAATTATAGAAACAGAAAGTTTCTGTTAATTCAAAGAAATTCAAAGAAAATCTCTTGTCCACAAAAAAGGACGTCTTACCTGTAGTGATTACTAATAGAAACCTATAATAATATTATTATTTATAATAATAACATTTCATGGTAATGCAGAATGTAAAATGGCTAAATTTGGTTTCAAGTCACTTTTGAGAACTTGCTGCTTTTGGTTTTGTTTAGAAAATCCCTGCCGGAAAGTGTCGCTGCCTGTCGCCGTTGCCTTGACAGCGCTTCTTTTGCTAAACGCTCATTGACCAGGAGGAGGTGAACGCAGCGTCTGGGGGAGCTTCTCTGTCTGTCTGCTGGCAACCTGATTGACTAACATCACCCACGCCCATAAAGTGGTAACATACAGGAAATGAACCGAGCTGCTAGAAGAACAGCCGTCTTTTCCCGCTGAGTCTGACCGGCTTGATTGTTCCAGTGCAGTGGTCGTGATTTCCGACTGAAGCCCGCCGTGAAACGCTATCGGTTCTAGGTCTCTGATGTGTAGCATCCACTGTGCAAGTTAGCCGCTTTAGTACCGTGTAGCTGGCCCTCCCTGGTTCGGACCCATTCAACGCTCATTTTGCCTGCCTAACACTTCTCCATCCGAAAAATGGCAACCCAGATCGATAAAGAGGCTTGCAGAGAGGCTTACAACCAAGTGAGGGACGATAACACTGACATCAATTGGTGAGTGTGCGGGCACGGTTACTAACCCATACTCCATTGAAGATTGTGACTGTTTGATATTAACGCTAAAATTACCGAAAATGAATGACACACGTGCATAACCCTGCATCTGTCTGGTGGTATTCCAGCACTTATCCACTTCGGCTACCATTAAAACACCAAATAGAGTATTTATTTGATGTGGTGTTAGTTAAAATTTTATTTCTCTCTGTCTGTTACCGCCCACTGTTCCGTCTTTTCAATGAGGAAGAGCGCAACATGAAGAGGCGGACTTGCTTTTGAAAAAGTTGAAATTGTGTTTAAATAAGCGTCGTTTGAATAAGCGGATACATGCCGAATAGCACACTACCTAATAAAGGCCAATAAAATGTAATCAGCTGTATGTTTGGTGGCGTTTACTTGTGCATTTCTGCACCAGAACTTTAAATTACCCTACGTTCCTATGCAGTTACGCCTGCTCATTGCGAAAACGCGCTAGAACGGCACATTGCGGACTGTTTCTTTAGAAAAACTGGCCAAAATGCACGCAGCGTTCGCTGTCCTGTCCCTCGGATGTGGCTGATCTGTATTCTGACTGTTCAGCGGTCACACGGCGCACTGTTATCAGGCCCGGCGGGGCAGAAGTAATTTCCTTTGTCCTGTATTCAATGGGGAAAATGTTATAGTGGTGACACTTGCAGATGGCTGATACACAGCTGCCACCTTGCATGGGCGTCTCGGGCATTTTTCTGCAATGGTGTGTGTGTGTGTGTGTGCGCGCGCGTGTGTGCATTATGCAAACTCATGTGATCCAACAGTAATTAACCCACTGTGCTCCTTCCAGGGCTGTGTTTAAATATGAGAACAACATCATCGTGCCTGGAGGACAAGGGACTGACTATGAGGACTTCAAGATGCTGTGCACAGGTAAGACTGGATCAGTTTTAAACGCAGGGCTGTGGCTGTGTAGCTGGCTGCTGTAGATTCTGTAAAACAGCCTATATATCAGGCAGCTTGACTTGGCGGGACACTAATCTTTTAAGACTCTGTGCTCCATCACCCAATGAGCCTTGAGCCTGTGACGAGGCTGTCAGAGCACTTAGCTGTGTATTCATTGTGTTGCATAATCTGGTTCACAATATCTCAGGTTTTTTTTTTTTACTACAGGGCGGCCTACATTTGTCTATTGGTGCAAACTACAATGGAAATATGTTAACTTTTAGCTTTACTCCTTCAACGAGCTGATGTTCATTAATATTTCACCTGCCTCTAACAAGAGAGCCTCCAAAGCACAAACTCTCATCGGCCGCTGTGGTGTAATGACTTCCAGTGCACAAACCTTTTATGTATAGATTTTAAAAAAACCTATCTCACTCCGGTTCCCCTTCAGAGAGAGCGAAGCATCTGCTCAGATGATGGGTGTGGCAACTGCTAATGCAAGCTCTTTAAAGCTTCAGGGCCTCCTGTGTCTCTCTGCTTCCTGATGTCTAGAGCTCACATTCCTATGTTGAAATCACTCCTTTACAACAGTGCTTTACATGTAACTGCTCAGCTGCTGCGTTCGCTATTAGTTCCTGTTCAGTGATGACACGCACATCTCCCTCTGTGGGCTCGTTTGCCTTATTTAGCAGTGAAGTTGTAACCTGCAGAAAAAACCCTGTGCGTGCGTGCGTGGGAGGAGCTACTGCAGACTTGAGTTTAGTGAGTTCAGATCAACTCTTGTAGAATATTGATCTTAAACTTATACTGCAGCAGGAAGTGAAAAAAGAAGATGCTGCATGCTGGGGTATTGTTTCACCAAGATCTGGTTCCTCATTTTTTAATGTAGTTTAAGACTTTTTAATCCTAGTTTCTTCTAAGAAAATGTAACTGCAATCAATGACTTATTTATTTAGAGGTATATATTATTGAGTAAACTCTTCACCATGTTGTAAAGGAGACTTTCACTTTTTAAGTCGTCCAAATGTATATTTTGAAAACAATCACCTGTAAGCCAAAATGAATGCCCACATAACCACCAGACGATGGGTGATTCAGAGATGTATCGACTTTTCATCTTTCTGTGCATTACTGTGCAGTTAAATTCAGGTGGTTCTTGTTTTCAGAAGATGAATCCTAACCAGCTTGTTAGGTGAACTTCCATGAAATATGGTTCAGGCTTGTCAGGTTCCCCTCAGGATGAATTATAAGCACAGGGTGATCTGTGCCCAGGCATAAATTGTTTAAATATTGGATGGATTCCCATAAAACATAGTTCAGAGGATACATTTTACTGGGTTTAATGTCCAGATTTTACTGTAACACCTCCAGCTAGCCAACACTTTTACATAGCCCTAAAATATTTGAAGACCTGCTGACTCAACTCGGAAAAAGGTCTAGTGCAGACATTCATAGCCCCCAGGGGACGAATCCGAATTTCCCTGTAGTTTTCTGGACCTTTGATCCGTCTATGGATTTTTATGGATTGCTGTCTTAAAACTAAAATAAAGAATTCTATTTATTTATATATTTCCACCTGTGTCACGGCGGTGCAGCGGTGTCGCCTCTTTACGAGAAGGCTGTGGGTTCTAATCTGTCGCTGAGCACGAGCTTGCAGCTTCCTCCCACAGTCTGTAGGCATGAATGTGAAGTTAACTGGTGAGTGTGGATGTGGGTATGAATGCTGCTTTCTCTCTGTGATGGCCCTTTGATGTCCTACCCCACATGCTGCCACGTTTCTTCTGGAAATAAACGAAGATGCACATCTGTACGTTTTTAGCAATTTCCAAACCTGAGGTCTGATCTTTTTAATCAGTTGTGTACAAATAGATCGAAGTGCTAATTATAAAAGGTGGTGTGAGCTCATTAGGAGGAGTCCAGCTGCCTTGACCTCACCGCCCTCGGGCCTCGCTGTTAGCGTAGATTAAAAACACCAAATTTGGACACAGTCGACATGCTGGTAACACCACTCCTTGCCTGATCCACCTGACACCGTCCACAGGAGACGGCTCTGGTTGCTTTCAGAGGGGACGGGCGGGTGTGCTTGGGAAGGCAGGGTGTCGCCCGACAACTGCTGAAATGAAGGCACTTAATGCAGAACAACCTCTGTGCTGACAGGTCGCTGTTCTGCATCCTCATCGTGTTGTAGTTTCAATGCAGATTTGTCTGCAGAGTCAGCATGGCTTTAAAGGAAAGATAAACCAGGAAGAGAAAGGCAGACGGAGGAAGTGGGAGGGTGTGGTTGAGCGCCAGGTCGGGTGAGGATTTGTCTGTACTGGTTTTCTCTCTGGTGGCTCAAACAATGATGAGAGCCATGACAAAGAGTTCATTAATCGCATATAGCAATATTTGGATGTGACAGAGATTGATTCACAGACATGTCTGAGTCAGGTGACTGCTTGTGCAGTGAGGTGTTGACACGAGGGATGTCCTCTGTGGCTGATAAGACTGTTTGTAGTGGCTGGTCCTGTCCTGACAGCCTGTATCAGCTGCTCCAATGTAAAGATAAGACGTTTCACTGTGAAGACTTCAACGCAGCAGAGACTTAAAATAAGCCAGTTTACATCTTCAAACCAAAGCCACTGAATTTCCTGCTGAAATGCTTCCTCGTCAGGACATCACAACTTAATAAACCTAAGATAAAATCGCTTAATGTTGTGTTTTTCCAAATAGTTGATTGAATACATCAGAATGCACATAAACAACCTTTTCCACTTGGATTGGATTCACATGTCTGTACTGTGGCTTTGGGTCGATACAGAATACTGATCAGGCACCAGTGTTAACCCTAAACTATGTCCTTCACTGGAAATCATTCTTTTATATATAAGGTAGCAAAATATAGCAATAAATATGGAAAAGGACATAATCGCATTCAAGTGCAGTTACAGTTTCCCAGCACGTGGGTTAAAATAACCGTATCCTAAATAAAGGAATGGTGCATCCCAGCAGTACAAGGAAGTGAGGAATGACCTTTCACCTCTTTGTCACAATAACTTCACACAGGCCGTTATAAGCACCACGTGTGAATTTGTTGATATCAGCCAACATGTGACATTCAGCCAATATATCAGTGCAGCTTTTTACTCTCCAACTTCTTCCAGAGAACCGAGGTGTACGTCAGAACTTTTAATGACCCATTTTAAACTTTTCATTCGAATAGAAAATAGTTTAGCTTTTTTCCTGATGACAGACTTTTTTATAAAGCTGTTGGCATCCGATACTCCACTCCACTGGTGACATTTCCAAACCAATAGATCACAGGTGGAGAGTGGAAAGTTGGCAGAGCTGCAATAACAGGAAGTTGAAAGAATCAGAAAACTTTATTGATCCCACAGGAAATGATGAAATGAAAGTGAAATTTGAGGATGTGGAATTCAAAGGCACTGTGAAATATTAGGGACCTTTTCTTTTCTGGCACATGTACAGATGCGGTGCCCGGTCGTCACAGAAAGGGGTGACGTTAAAACAACTTTTAGTGAAAAGCGAGGAGCCCGAGCCAAACCCTCCCTGCAGCCAGCGGCACTCAGACCCGGGTGGAGGGACGGTGCTGTTGATGCTTCAGGGCCGTGTTGCATCTAAATGCTGCCTGGTGGAGCTTTTAATGTGACACTGAAATATTTTGGCTGTATTTGTGCCATAATCTGAGATTTGTGTATCGAATGCTTCCATAAGTCTTTGAACTTTAGAGCTATTCATTCAGCCTTTATTTGGTTTGCAGCTGAGTCTGTATGTGTGCAGTGCAGTTATTCCCAAAATGAAACGGCTCTTTGCCCTGCAGCCCACAGAGAACAACATCTGGAAGATGGTAATGAGTAATCTGTGGAGCACCTGAAGGCAGGGCGGGCAGGAGTGTGTTTATTGGACAATGTGTTGACATCCTGCAGGCGTGATAAGGCATCTGCACTTTCCTTAAAATTCAAATAGAAGTCCTTTCCACGTTCTCTGACTTCTTAGACCAAACAAGGCTCCAGCAGAGTGGTATGCTGGATTTATGCTTCTGCATTGGTGTTCGCTTGTGGCTCTTTGGGCCTTAGAGAGAGGCATTGTGGGAATTCAACCAAAGCAGTTGCCGCACAGACGCGCTTGGTGTGCAGTTATTTCTAAAAAGCAAACGGCAGGTCAGCTGACGGTGACGATGCTGTGGTGCTGATTGGCTTGAAAAGTTGCTTTGAACAGCAAACGAGGACTATTTAGCTCCCCACAAAGAGGAAGAGAGGCTTTTTTTTTTTTCTTTAAGCACGTAAAGACGTTTCACTACTAACAAGTTGTTAATACTTTCTGAATGCTTTAGTTTAGCCACTAGCATGGAGAACAAAGGGACTACGAGAAGATTAGTCGTCATTAGTGGTTCTTCCACATTTTTTTCCGATGCTGTCCCCTTTTGACTGCACACGCCTACAACATGTAGATGTGGGTCCCACAGCTACAACAGGGGTGGGGAACTCCAGGCCTCGAGGGCCGGTGTCCTGCAGCTTTTAGATGTGTCCTTGATCCAACACAGCTGGTTTAAATGGCTTTATTACCTCTTCAATTCGTCCTGACCTTCTCCAGAGGCCTGCTAATGAACTAATCATTTGATTCAGGTGTGTTGACCCAGGGTGAGATCTAAAACCTGCAGGACACCGGCCCTCGAGGCCTGGAGTTCCCCACCTCTGGTCTACAGCATGCAGATTTGCAAAGGAAAAACACTTGTCTTCTCCATATTTAGGTTTTGCTATTTTTTTGTGGTAAGAACAGAGAAGACCACCTTCTGCCAAAAAGCAAAGGAAGCATCTCCAAAAACGATATTTGTAGAAGTCTTCAGATGCTTGTGATTTATAAACCAGGACAGAGAAGTTCCTGTGAAACTTACAGATCATGTAGCTATATCACTGCTCTCTGTCCATCAGCTGTCTCCAATCATTTTGTAGGTAACAATGAGTCCTAGCAGTCATTCTCAGTTGGTGTCTTCAGAGTTTAAATAGGTTTAACTTAGTATTTAAACCACTAAGCTTCCATGCAGTTATGGTGTCTGTTTATCAAGAGAGATTACGCTCTGATAGGTGTTTTTGATTGAATTAACCATTTCACTTATTTTCCAAGTACCAGTGCCAAATATGTGTTTCACTGTCACTAATGTAAATGCTTTTCTTCATATACCAACTTTAACTGAACATCTTCGGCTTCTGGACTGTTAGTTGTTGAAAGGTTTGGTAAAACTGAACCTCCAACTTTTCAAAATTCTCTGGAGGGGCAGCCAATCAGAAGAAAGTTTGCTTAACAGAAGGGGGAGGAGCTAAACTGTTTTAGTCAGAATGAATTGAGGGGTAGCACCAAGGCCCATCAAAAGATAAATAAGGACCATTTTTTGAATTATGAATAGAATTCAAGAGTAAATGTATGGATGGCAAAGACACCGACCATGATTTTATCAAGTTCTTGATTCGTCATTTTGTCTGTCAGATGCCAAAAAGAAATAAAAGACGCTGCTTGTAATTAAGCACATCTTGTGGTGATGTCGAACATCAGTCCAAACAGTTCAAATGTATTCAGTTTAATATCCTCTGAGGAAAAGAAAACAATGAAGTCCTCAAATGAAGAAGCTGAGGAAAGAAGAAAATTAGGAAGGATTTGGAGGTTTTGAGCAAAACGTTAGTCTCTGTATATCTATCTGTACATATGACAGATAACACACTGCCTATATAAAGTTAAAGAGCTGACCACAATGGAATAAAAAGCTTGAAGACTTAAAAAACAGGTCAGTCAATTTCGTTAAGGTTTTTTTTACCACCAACATTTATACTTGAATTTTATTCTTAGTACAGAAATTCTGAATTGGTGCATGGCTGAAATTATTCATCCATCTATTCAAATTAAGTGACCGTTCCTTAATCTCTACTCAGAATTTTGAGTTAGCAGATGAAGAGCACATTCATGATTTTCTTAAGATTTGGTGGAAAGCTGCATCTGAGTGGAAACCCAGGATCCCGAGGCGGCGCGAGTCGGACAAAAGAAGCAGCAGAAATGTTTGTTCGTTCATGTCGGCGCGCTTGTTTGTATTCGGGCGTTATTCTCAGATTGCAGTGGACCACCGTGACAGTGACAGGCGTGGTCACTGGGAGGTTTGCGACACAACCGCAGGGCTCACAAACGATTTTACTCATCTAGTCTACTGACCTGAATACTCCCCGGCTGCACAGACGCGCTCTCACAAAGCGTCCCTCTGGTGTGCTGGGACTGTGCCACTGGGACAAAAGCACACAACTCTGCACAGCAACGCTTAAAATGTAAAACTGGTGATCAAAGCACAAACTCTACAGTTACAGTTTTAACTGATCGATGGTGGCCAGTTCTGAATAGACTAATAAAACTTAGTGGATAGCATTGGGTTGCATAAATAAATATCCAGCGATGTGTTTGCAAATATGAAAATAGCAATAAGTTATGTCCGCATGACAACAGCCCAGAATCTAAAGACAATTAATGCTTAATGTGTTGTATTTCTTTGATAGTGTTTTTTTATAACTCCATCTGGTGCCATCCTGTCTTCCTCACTGATTGGTTAGTCGATGTGTTCGGCTTTAATCTGTCTTGACTCGTGCATTCCCGTCTTCCCTCAGACGACGCTCGTCTGTTTGGCTTCCTCCGGATCACGACGGGAGATGCCATGAGCAAACGAGCCAAGTTCACCCTCATCACCTGGATCGGGGAAAGCATCAGCGGGCTGCAGCGTGCAAAGATCAGCACGGACAAGACGCTGGTCAAAGACATTGTGCAGGTCAGTGACTGGAGAAAGTAGCAATTAAAATAATGGTTCCTTTGGGGAAACTGGTGGCTTTGCATTCGCACGACACTGGATTCAGAACAAAAACAACGGAAGGATAAATGTGTTATGGACTCTTTGTATTTCTGAGGCCATATTTAAAGGTGGACACAGGCACTCTGAGGTCACCCATCGGTCAGCGCCCCACAGTTTATCAGCCAGTGTCAGTTTTGACAGAAATTTTGATTTTAGTTTCAGTCATAATGTAGACAACTGAAGTCTCTTTGCTTCAGTTGACTAAATCAGCGGCCCCCAACCCCCGGGCCTCGTTCCAGTACCGGTCCGTGAGTCGTTTGGTACCGGGCCGCGAGAGTTGAGGCTCAGGTGTGAAATGTATGGTTTTCAGGGTTTTTATCGGTTTCCAGCGTCATTTTGTTATCGTTTTTATCGTTAACTCGGTGTCCCTGGGTCTTTTCACGTGTGTTATGAATAAATCTTCTTTTTTTCGGTACCGGTACTAGTTTTATTTTGTTGTATTTATCCGCGACACCTTAAAGGCCGGTCTGTGAAAATATTGTCGGGCATAAATCGGTCCGTGGCGCAAAAAAGGTTGGAGACCGCTGGTCTAAATGGCATGAGACTGCAGTCGTCCAAGTCTAAAGTTGATTCAGCTCAAAAAAAAAAATGGTGTAAAAGTTTATTATGTATGGTGAGAGTTTACGGAGTGTCTTATTTTGCTTGTCCACACTTCTCTTCCTCCCATGTGTTGACATTTTGTTGTGTTGTCAGGAGAAACGGGGAAGATGGGTGCTAACTTACTTAAGCTAATTAACTTAATTAGCTTTGATTTATATTTGAATCATTGACAAAGTGTCAGTACTTGTCATTATAGTTTTTGTCCTCATGCATAAGAGTTATTTAGCTATGTCAGAAGAAAGTGTGCCCTGTTGGGTCCTATGATGAATTATTGGTCAACAAAATTAACACTGTTGTTAGGTGAGACTATCAAGCATGACATAGAGCTGCGTGTATGAGCTGTACGGCTGCAAAGTGAAAACCTTGGATGCCCGCTAATGACCATTTAATTAGTAACAGACTAATAAAGTTCTTGCATTTAGCTCGAGTTAGCGGTGGTGAAGCCTAGCAAGTGACCTTTGGACAAAATTAACGGTACATGTGGAGGTTTGGTTTCTGATAGAGACGGCACGATATCACTTTTTAATGTCCGATTCCGATATCATAAATTTGGATATCTGCCGCTATCGATATGAATCCGATACAGCGCATTTTGTAATCAATAAAACTGTTTTTTTTGTAAATATCTTGCTGCATTTTGTATAAGTTCATACTCAAGTTTTAAAAAACAAGAGACTGAAGCTATTCTGTTATACCTGTATGCAAAAAATACACTGCACCCGAAACATTTCATAGTTCAGCAACACTGATCAGTCTAATAAATTTAAACCTGCACCATCCTCCCTATTCTGGTATTTTAAAGAGTACTTACCTACCTAACTAATAGGGCTGCCAACTCCCAGCAAAAATATTAGGGAACCACCCCCCGCCCTTAATCGATGTAATCAACTTTAATTTAATGCATGTGTAAAACAAATGCACAGAATCAATTATTTTTCTACAATAATTAAATAGATTCAACATCTTTCTTCAACAGAATTGCAGACTGCACAGATGGTACCAAACGAAAAAGTACTATAGCTTACCTGGGTGTATATTAGACTTATTAGTTACTATCTACAATAATGGATTTCTATACATTTAATCAGATGACCACTTTTGTTGTAAGATTCAGATAATTATTTATTCAAAGTTTTTAAATGACATAACAAAGAAAAGTATGTCTTTGTGCCCCCCTCTCCCTGTTAATGCCCTACCTGGCCCCCGACAAAACTTTGCTAGACCCGCCCCTGCACAGTTACCAGCTGTCAGCTACTTAGAAAAGGATCCTGGTGTTATTTGTCTCTCAGAAACAGTTCATAACTTCAACTCATTCATGTCACCTAAAAGGTAAACCTGTGTCTCCATCACAGCTCTGATGATCCAGTAAGGACATCTCCTGGTTTCATCTTCATGTTTCCCTCTCACCACATAACCAAACCGACATCATGACCAGCAGCTTTACAGCTGTGGCTCCAGCAAACATCAGCTGATACTAGAAATTAATATTAAATAAATTCTAACAACAGCTGATCAAGCTTAAACGTGCTGCTGTTGTTTGTCCGCTGGTCTCCTCTTTCTGGTGCAAAGTGGGCGATAAACAAGAAAGACGGGACTTGCGGCAGAAAAGCCGATCAGCTGATCATTGATCAGTTTCATGTTCATGTCAGGGATGAACTTACACACTTGCTTTGCTTCTCTGGGATAGTTTTTGCCGAGATGAAATGCCGCGGTTAGGAAGCATGTGGCGAGGCTCCAAATGCTCCAACAGACCACACAGGTGTCGCAGACAACAGCCGCTCTATCACGTGACACATATTGCCCCGATGCGAGCTGGGTTACGCCAAGTAGCGCGTTTTGTGAGGTGATTTTGTGATACTTCGGATCGGATTACATTTTTTATTTCTCTCTGATATCCGATCCAGTAATTTAAGTCGGTATCGCACCGATACCGATACGTAATATCGGATCGGTCCATCTCTAGTCTCTGATGACTGTTTTTCAATGTAACCTTTATTCGGCTTGTGTCATTGGGGTTAATGATCACTTCTGTGGGGAAACCTCCCACCAGAGCAGGATGACAGTAAGTCCATGCAAATGAAATGATGCTGAAAACCAAGTGATGACAGTAAAATCAGGAAAATGACACAAAACAAAGACAAACGATGAGGTTACAGGATACGGTCTGTAAGGGATATGCAAAAATAAATGAAGTCTGCATAAACTTTTATAAACCACAGAAGAAATTCAGCTCTTGCCATCGGATTTCTGTAGTATCAGAGTAATGTAGTTAAAGCTATCCGTGCATTCATGAGTTCTTAAGAAACGGCCGTTTCAACGTGACAGTGGTGACAAAAAAACAAAGAAATCCAGTGGACTAGAAATGCTGCACTCACCTGCAGCACAACAACACAGCACATTAATGAGCTTAAAGAGCGCGGCTGCATTTACCAATTACCAAATTACCAAAGAGGCTTATATGTTGGTGTTAACAACGTCAGAGTGGCCAAAACATTTTTAGCTTTGAATTCACGCTGAGCTGATAAAACGCGGCAGGTTGCTCAGGACGAGCAGCCAGTTTGTTGGCAAACAGGAAGTCGATTCAGTTGTGGTTATTACTGCGGAGGAGGTGAAGAATTACAGGATTAAAACCAACAAAGTAGTGTTGAAATAACACCTCGGTTCAAAAATAATATGGCTTGCTAGAACATGTGACTACCTCGTGCTGATGAGCTCCAGCAGTGGAACATGCTGCATGACGGGTTTTGGATGCAGAAGACTGTATTAGCTGTAATAATACAGATAATATCGGTGCCTAAATTAAAGTTGTTGGTGACACTTGCAAGAAATGAAGCGTAGCTTCGCCCACCTACACAGGAGCTGATGATAACTCACCGGTAGCCTGTCTGCAGCTGCTGTAAGCTGCTTTGCAACCCACCTCCACCCCAGAACCTCCTTTAAATGCTGTCTCAGACTTGATTAACAGCAGCTGCTTTCCCTCCGCTTATGCATTCAGTACATCTTCATGGAGGGGCAAATGTCAATTTGTCACTAACTTATTATGTAATTTAATTTTTCCCCCTATTTCCAGTTCACCTTTTAATTTGTATTAAACTGTGAAGGAGTTTATTGAAAGCATCCTCATAATGCGCATCTAAATACCGGCTGCTTATCGTAGGGATGCACGCCTGTAATTAGGCAGATGATATGGTGTTCATTATTGTCAGCAGGTCATATGTATGATGTGGGCTCTCGCCAAAATTATTTTAGACATCTCCAGTATCGTAGCAGAATTTCACAATCGAAGCTTCATGTTTTTAGAAGATTTTAAAGAAAGTTGTCTCTTGGATTAACTGCTGGACTGAGCAGAGAGAAGTATACATGTGGTCATAAAGTATGCTCGAGTAAAGTCCTGTTAGCTTTGAGTGTTCTCATGTAGATGCGTTCTGGTACCGCTGGTCTTCTCTGATCTTCTCTTCTCTCTGTGCAGAACTTTGCCAAGGAGTTCATGATCAGCGACCCGCGGGAACTGGATGAGGACTACATCCGCACAGAGTTGAAGAAGGCCGGCGGAGCCAACTACGACGCCCAGGCCGAGTAAAGAAGTGCCACTGGAAGGGTCGGGTCAGGGCGGAGCGGCTGTGGGTGGCGGGGTGGGCTTGGGTTGTCTAAATGGGGGGGCGGGGAGTGTTGGGACTGGGCTGCTACCTCTCGGGGAGAGGGCAGGGCAGGATGGAGAGGGCACTAGCTTACTGAGGAAAAGCCTCTTTGGATGTGTCCACATCTGTATCAGGGTGCTTCTGTCCTCGATTTGTAGGATAAACAGCTGGAACCAATGCAGCTGCATAACAGAATATACAGGTTAACCACCACAAACGTGTACTTAAAGCAAGCATATAAGCACTCTTACAGGTGTCCTCTCCTTTCTGACACCCTGCCCTCTCCCCAGTCAGCTCATGGTTGGTTATCTACTGTGCTGTGCGTCATCATCTCACGCTCCTCCTCGTCTCAGCTGTCGTCCGGCTTCAGCGCCATCCGACTGAAAGCGAAGGAGGAAAATGTGGAAAAACTGGAGGGCTTCACTTCAAAGATGCCCTGAGAGCGGCTCATGTTATTAAGACTGTTCACCGATAAGAGCACAGCAGACACCCCTCGCTTGCAGGCATGTGTTAGATACCAGAACATGCTCGTAGTCTTAATACACTGTACCTCCAGGTGGAAGAGATCTCCATTTTCCCAACAGTATCCTCGGTGATGGTTGGCGGCTTGTTTTGAGCAAGCTTAGCGTTTCTGCTGAGTGCACATTTAACTGCCTCTTCATCTCCAGCCAGACAGCTGTGTTTGGATTACAGCTTCAGAGTTCACTGTAATTGATCCTCCTCTGAGCTGTGGAGCCTTCTTGTCCCTCTAGTTTCTGTTTGTCTTTATCCGTGTCAGCTGAGATGGCAAACAACCATGTTCGTGGCTTTGGCCTGTATTTTGCTATAGAGGCACAAAGGAATGACTAATATATTGATCTGTAAGCATCCGTTGCAGTCGGCTATCGCCTGTTCGCCTCAACCTCTGAGGATAGTGAAAAATGGAGGTCTTTTCTTCTGGTGTCTCATCTCATCATCTACCACTGAAAGGTATCCATGCATACTGTAACCTACTGTGTTTGACTGCCTTAGTCTCCCATGGAGAGAGGGTCATCATGGGAGCTTGTGGACACTACACTGTGATTGGCTGTCTTCTTTTACATGTGGGCGGGATGTGGGTCTGAGCCCGTCGTCCTGACCCAGGAGCAGCCACGTCTCGGTTGTAGCATCTGTTTTTATTTAGGTTCAACCCTCCCTTCCCCCCCTGCTAAAAAGGATAAAATAGGATTGTATTTCTTTGTACTTTTCTTGCTTTTGAGATGAATTTTATTTTCTCTGGAAAGTTTTACTTGATCATTTTTGTTTTTTGGTTTTTTGTTTTTGTTTTTGTTTTTTAACATTGGAACAGGAAAAAAAAAATCATGCAAAATTGAAATAAAACAGAATGGGCACAAGACCGGTCATTTCAAAATAAAATTTGATGTTTTTTCCAAAACCTAGTGTCTCCAAAGTGTCTTTTGTGTCTCTTAACCTCCATTTTTATTACGACAGTAACCCAGCAAACACATCTATGTTGGCCCAGAGTCGGTAGGTGTGGGTCAGCAACAGGATTGTGCGTGGAGGGCAAGACCACACTCGTCAACTTTGCATCCTCCTCCGTGTGTCACCAGCACCAACATCTGTGAAGGCCTGGTTGTTTCCTCAATGATACACATCTGCCCCGTTCAGGTGGCCTCCTTTTGTCTTGCTTATTTCAGCAAGATGATGCTAAAGCGCTCCGTGCACGTGAACCGTTAGCCTACGTAGGCTAACCCGGCGTGCCTGCAGTCCATACCAGTCTGCATCCGGCACATTATGAAATTAAAAAGACAAAACGGAGCAAAGGCAACTGAACAGCAAAAATATAATATGACGCAAGAATGGGAAAATATTATTCTTTCAAAAATGCTGTAATTAGTCTGCCCAGTTCCCAAAGACTCTTTGAGGTAACGCAACACGGTCCAAAGATGCTCCTGCCTCAATCAAAATGAGCTTTCCCAGTTTGAACTTTTGATGTTTAAATGATTTAAAAACCATCATGTGTATATAAGAGTTTTACACACCTCCCCCCTCCGCTTGTATTGGTTGCTCTTTATCGAACATTGCTTCGTATTGATTCAATCCTTGCAGTCTGCAGTCATGACTTGGTCACATCTAGTAAGTCAGCATGTTAACGGAGAATATCGATGCACATTCGCACATTATCACTTTCAAAAGCAGGTTTGCAGCCAGAGTGACAGCTGCTGGTGTGTAATAGGTCAGTCGATGGCTCCCGGCTGTTCCAGCCCAAACACTGTCTGCGTGTGTGTGTGTGTGTGTTGTTTGTCCTGTTACAGCTCCCTGTTGAGTGGATGACTGTTTGTTTGCTGCTGATCAAACACTGAGTGATTGTGCATACAGTAGGCTGGTGCCTGCCTGCTGGGTGGTTGCAGCAGTGTGTAAAGACTAATGGCAGGTTTCGTAATGACAGAGCTGTAAGGAAGTGAGTAGTGGATGCAATTTGAGATGTTTCACCATCAGTGTGTGTGGGAGTTTGGGCGAGTTGAGACAGGCATGCTGGGACCACAGTGTTGAAGCTGATGCTCTTAAGATTTAGATGAATTTGCCTTAAAAATGAGTGGATGGGCCTTTATCACAGCAGACTTGTTACAGCAGATCAATGAAGTCATACAAGGAGGAACCACTTGTGTCTGTTGTGTAGTGCAATAAAGTTTCTTCCTTTATTTTCAGTTCTCTTGCCCACAAGGTTTTAAACGGTTGTCAGCGTTTTCCCCACGTCTCTGTGTGAATGCTGCTTAAAATAGACCCAACACAGAGGCTGTGGCGCTGCTTTAAAGAGGACCCACTCTGCTCAGTGCTAACTCCATACAGGGATTCTTCTAGTTTTGTAAATTCATAGTTTAGTTTAATCTTATGCTGGTGCTGGGTGCAGCCCCACAGTTCTTCATGTGTCTGACATAAGCGATTCAAGCTCCTCCCTCTTTAAACAGCCCTTAAATAGAAGAGGGTGGGTGGGGCTTCTGTGCCACAGACAGGAAATCACCTCTCAGTGACACCATACAGATCCAAGAGTAAAAAAACCAGTTTGGATCTGTATGTTTGGTTGGTTTAAAGGGTTTGGTTTGGTTTGGCGGTTTAAAGGAGATTTTGGTATTTGCTGATTTGCTGGGGGATTTTCCCCTCTGATCCTCGGCTGCTGGATTATGTTTATCCCCACACCCCCAAGAGATTTCCAGACATGTAGGTAAAAGAGTCTCGGCTGCAGATGACCCCTCCACAGGAACATTCACACCAACACAGCAATAAATAAAACAAGCCTGAAATGAGTCAAACATTTCTCATTCTGAGCTTTTGTCAGAGACCCACAGCACAGCTTTATGCACAAATACCGGATCATGGACCGGAGCGTTTATGGACTTTACTCCTCCGGAGAGCTCCTACTTTTCCCCCACAGTGCACGAGAACCATGACCCATTCCCTTTTAATTAAAATCTTCAGTCCGACTAATTAACAACGCTCAAATGAAAAAAGAAAAACAGTTTGTTAGAATTGCACTGGTTCACTTTTGTGCACAGTGACTTCCACAGTGGTGTTGCGATTGTTGGCCTCTTCTTCCTTTCACTTTTGTGTCTCGCATGTTCTGACAGCTCCAAGCGGAGGGGGCCAAAGGTAAAAGCATGCACAAGCATCTATCGCTTTCTTTCAGAGAGGGATTTTTTTTTGTGCGTGTGTGTAAATGTTCCTGTAACCAGGAAGTACAACTCCTTTTCTGGAGTGTGCCTGGCCAAGACAAGCAGCGTTAACTGAGGATATTTTTGATAACAGGAAAAGCCGGGGCTCTGCGAGAAAAACTGCACAAACACAGGAGAAGCTGCAAACTCCACACAGACGGGTCGAGCTTGAACGCAGCTCTCTCTTACTGTGAGCAAACTGCTAAGCACTGAGCCACTGTACCAGCATGCAGGACTGTAGGAGTCTGAACAAGGACCGTCAGATCAGTCCCTGCAGAGCTGGCACTCCAGTCCTTCCTGCATTCTTCAGACCTCCTCAACACAGCAGCCCACACAAGTCATGTGCTCTGAGAGAGAGAGAGGCAGGAATTGTCCTCCACTCACCCCACATATCTAAATGTTTATGTCATGATGCTGTTGTCTCTTTGAAAATTAATTATTCTTTAATTATTCACCTCTTAAACATCAGTTCCTGCCTTTTAACAGCTCAAGTAATGATTCGGACTATTCCAGTGTCATAACACTTCATACTTTTATGTTTTGGAACATAATAAATAAAAACAACCTCAGACGAGTTACAACACATTACATATTTATTTATGCATTTCACAAAAACTAAATCAAATTGCAGAAGCAGGCCATGTCCAAGCATTCAAGACACTTGGCAAAATTTCCAGAAGTGGACGTCCCAGCAAATTCACCCCAAGGTCGGCCTGTGCAAGGAGCTCCATCTCAGGCCTCAGTTAGCATGTTAAAGGTTAAAGTTCATGAGAGTACAATTAGACGAAGGCTGTACAAACATGGCTTGTTTGGAAGGGTTACCAGGAAGATGTCCTTCGGAATGTCCTTTGTCCCTTTGGAGAAAAGTAAACACCTCATACCGGCTGTCAGCACGGCGGTGGAGGGATGATGAGTTGGCCTCCTTGCAGTCACAGTATACCAAAGTGTCAGATGTGAGGCCGCGTGTCCCGCAGCTAAAGCTCAGACCAAACCGGGTCATCAACGGGACAGTGATCCAAGCTCAGCAGCAGATCTCCAACAGGACGGCTGAAAAAGAAAAGATGGTGGAGCCAGAGTCCAGACCTCAACCTGACTGAGATGCTGTGTGCTGCAACCTTCAGTGAACTGAGCCAACAATGTAAAGAAGAGTGGGCCAAAAATCCTCCACAACCATGTGACAAACCTGCTAAGCAGCACACGATTGTTATTTCTGTCCTTATATGTAAAAGTTTAGAATCGAAACTTTTATTTTTAACATGACTGCACGTTAAACAGGAAAGTGAGAACAACTGAGATCTGTCTCTAACACATAATGTGCGTATAAAGTTTCTTTTGAATGAGTCATAAGTTAATAGTGCCTGTCAATTCGTCTCATGTAGTAAATCATCATTATCTGCTGTGTAGTTATCCATTAGGAATCAAACTAGCTCCCAGTTTGTTCTGAAGTTGTTTAACAACTACGTAATCATAAAAGGTAATCATAAAATACTGCGTGTTTCCTTGTTTTCTGTCACGCTCATATTTTAATAAGGAATCAGGTCACAGTTTGTGCAGGTAATCCCTCGGCCTCTTTTTCTGTTCAGACAGGTTTTTCTCCTTTTGGACGGGACGGGAGATATCCATGATGTGGTTATGTGGGGAACTGCAGTGTGGAGTGGGAGCCCTTCAGAATAAAGTTGTTTTAACGTGAGGGTGAAGGAAGCTAAAGCAGTGTGTTCAGACATGGACTGAGGCACCAAGACCCTGCATATGAAAGATACAGTGTATCATGTGAAACCACTAAGAACAAAGGTACAGAGCTAAACAGGTCCCCCTTAACTAATGATTAGCTACTTTACATCTGGATACATTTTTATCAGCAGTTACTGATTAACTAATAATTAACCAGAAGTTTCTCATTTGTTTCCTGCTTATTCCCAGGTAGCTGTGGTTGCTGGTTATTTTAAAGGGCTGCTCTTAAAAACAACCCAGCTTTAAATTTAAACACGCCACAAGCGTCTCTGAACACTGAAAGGCTCAGACGGTTTGCATCAGTGCGGTTCTCAGACTCGGAGAAACTCTGCGAGACATTTAGTTTGAAGTTTTCCATTAAAGCTTTTAACGTTTGGCTCCTTTTTTCCCAGTTTGTTGTAAGTGCTGCTGGACTGATTGAACATTTGGTTCGTCACGGCTCGGAGGCCTAAATCCAAACAGACTCAGATGCCTGTGTGATAACATCTGAGAGAAAGAGGCAGGCAGCGACCCTGGGAGAGAGAGGGGAGCTCGTGTTACTCCCGATGAACTCATCTGCTCTACACAAATCCTCATCTCAACTCATCTTCTGCCACACCACATGTTTTATGCTTTCCATCGTTTTAAAGTGGTGTCAGTGTTTCCAAATGTAGCCTCAATCAGTAATAAGTGTAGTGATAACTCTTATTAGCAGCAGGATCCTCACAGCTCTGTCACTTTTCATGTTCCCATTGTAGAAGCCAGCAAGTATTTCCCAGGAACACTGGAAACCAACCAGCGTTCCATAGCTGGAATACCAGTTAATTAACAGATTTTAAAAATGTAATCATCATTTGAAAAGCTTTTTTAAGGACAGTGCCAAAAATGATAAATATGAGATGTTCCACTGCAGGGATGAGTCAGAAACTGGATATGTGGCTCAGGATTCGGAGACTTTCTCAGCCCCCTGAGGGTCATAAGTCTGCGTCTCTGCAGAACTCTGATGAGTGATCCT